AATCTTTGTAGATAACTAATCAGCTCAATCTCGCTTCTGTAACTGCTTTGTGCAAACCAGGGTCCTCATTCCAAACCCTGGGATGTAATCAATACCTTTGTGATTTTTGCCTATATAAGTCTGGTTTTGCCACCATCTTATTACTATGAGATTTGGGAATGTCCCCTCATAGTCCCGGATTGCAATAAACGTGACTCTTTAATTCGACTTCTTGAGGCGTCCTTCTGTGATTCGCGGGGTACATTACAACACTTGGTGTTCCTACTGCTCAGAAGTATAAAAAGTCTCATTGGCTATTGACCTCCAAGTACAAGCTTGAAGTATGATACATGAAAGACAGAATATGAACAGGTGCCTGAATTTTTCTACAACTTCTTCCATTTAATGCATCATTGACAATCAGTTCACAGTAAGACAAGGCCTTTGAGGAGCTGATGTTCTACCTGCCTCTTCTGCTGGATGGCATCAGTGAAGAGGAACATGAGCCAGGCCTGGCCCAGAGAGCTGGGTCTGTACAGGTAAAGTCTCTGGTAGTTTATCGAAGTGTCCTTAAAACTTACTACTACTAACTTTTCAATGTCTCTACACAAAATTTTAAAAGGACAAAACAAAAAGGAATTGTATTCCAAAGAAAAGGATTGTGTAGCATAGCAGAAATATAAGCTACCTAGGCATATGTTGTAAAGCCGTTTGAAAGTAACTCAGCAAGTTTTGTGAATAGAAGTGCAGTGCTCTCGTCACATTCTGCTTTAAAAGGTTATGGCAAATACAGACAAATTCAAAAGAAAGAAAGAAAAAAAAGGAATTGTAGGAGGAGGAAGTTGTGAAAGAAGGACATCATCATATATGCAAACTTACAGGAAGTGTTCCCTATTTTGTCTACCAAGAAATCATAAGAATTTTTATAAAATCTAATAATGTATTTCTGATCATTCCCTTAAGGCAACTTTTCCTCAAACCATTTTTTAAAACTAAAAACCAATATCGATAGAGAGATGGTAGGTAGATAGATAGATGATAGATAGATAGATAGAGATATAGAAATAGATATTTATAAAATAAAGCCTGGAACCAATGTTTACATTTTTATTTTAGTATATTTTATTAAAAAAAGAAAGACATACTTTGATCAACTAATTAGATTTCAAGACCTACTAATGGATTGCAACTTCCAGCTTAAAAACATTGCATGGGGTTCTTGTGTATGTGTAGAGAGATATTTTTCATGTTCGCTATCAAAGTTTAAGGGTATAGATCTCTAAAAAATATGGAATTAAAAGTGGCCTCTGAACTCTTTCTCACCTACATAAATCTGACTGTTAAACACATAAGAAGATGCCTTGATGCCTTAGCCAAACAAGAAGTAGAGGCCACTTTGCCTAAAAGCAAACAACATGGGGCATTTAGAAACATGATCTTACTGGCAGGAGAAGGAAACAGTAGTGAATAGATAAAGTTTAAAGCAATACACTACCTTTAAGATTTTCCCAACGGCCACATAGATCTTCTAACAGGAAGAGTATATGTTTATGAGGCACACCAAGAAATGTCTGCAATTGTTAGAGGGCACCACGGGTTCCCAACAGCCTAAAAGTCATCAGCTCACCAAAGAGAAGGTCCATGTGGATCATCAGGAGTCATCAGTTCCTGCCGCTGGGAAGGATACATCCAAGGACTGCACATCCCAGACCACACCCATCACATTCTCTTACTACCTCATCTTAAAAATTCTTCCTACCTCCTCCATTTATAAATAACTGTATGCTAGTACATAGACCAGCATAGGTTGCAGTCTGCTGTTACAGATGGTGCTGATACTGTGATCTCTAAGCATGTCCTCCGTTGATGGTTATTTTCATTTCTTTTCACAGAGTGAATATCTCTATGGTCAGAGAGAATCCGCAGCAGTAAAAGACACCTGTAAATGATGAGGGAAAGAGGGCCGTGGTCAGAAATTTTCACTGCATCGGATACAGGGCTTTGGAGGCAGGCCAAGAGGACTTTCCTGCCTTCTGCCAGCAGCAAGGCTTCAACTAGACAGTAAAAAACTAAAATTAGAAAGCCTTTTGTGACTTATTCTTAAGAAACCTTATAACCAAATTTATTTGTATTCTTATTTGCCTGGGGCATGCTAATTTATCGGTGACTTGGGTTAAGTACTCTCTATAAATTCTACACTTGACAGCTCAGCTTAATCCTAAAGAATCCAGAAGGATATATATCAAAGTGCAAAGACATCAGTCAGGCATTTCTCTGCATCTTCACTGACTTTGACACACACACAAATGGATTTTCATACATTTTGGAACATGTACCTACATGGATCTCAATAGCTTGGAATCACCCAGGAAAGTAAGTCCCTGGAATGCACCATTCAGAGCAGCAAATATTCCAATGGGGTGGGGGGAATATCCTAGAAATATTTTGTTTGCTACCAATAACACTATTTTCTTAAAATTCTCAAAGTAGTTTACTAAAGGATAAGAAAGAAGGAAAAATATTTTTCAGCTTTAAAAAGAGTCTTATATAAGCAAGGCTCTGCTGATGCCATGTAAAAAAAACAACAACTTGTTTTTATGGCTAAAGGGCAAGAACCAGGGAATGGCTCACACCACCCATCAGCACTTGATCCTTCTGAAGAGCACATTAGTACGGGGAAGAGAGAAGAAACACTGTTTTGGTGATGCCAAAGGAAACGAAGATGTAGTAAACATTGGGGGAGAAACATTATTAATGAATGTCAAAGGTTCACACTTCTCAATTAGCTAAAAGTGGTTATTTTGGGGGGGGCATGCTTTGAAAAGTTACTAAGACCTCACTGAAATCACAGTATGTGTGTGTGGAGTCAAAACTGATCATTAATATGAGATGGTGAAAAGGGTCAAATATGACTCTTTGGTAATGAATTTTGGAAGCATTAGTCATCAGACAAAATCTGGTGAGCAGATACTGCAGCGGTGTCTGTGAGTAGAGAGCTTTTGTATGCCTCAGAATTATAGAAACTCTGAAACAAATTCAGTGTGGCCACTGCAGCCAGACATGGGCAGCATGAGACAGAGAAGCTAGCACTGGATGGGGATCCAGAGATGTGGGACTCAGGGACATCCTGGTTGTGTCACTAACTCCAGTAAACTGAGTAAGTCATTTCATCCAACTGGGTGTCAGTATCCTCATTTATGAAACAAAAGGGTTGCATCATATCCAAGATTCCTTGAACTTTAGAATTTTATGATTCCAAGTTTTTAAGCTGTGGGATACATGCCTTCTAGATTAGAACTGCCCAGCAGAAATATAATGCAAGCCACATATGTAATTTAAAATGTATACTAGCTACATTACGTATGTAAAAAGAAACAGGTAAAATAAGGACATATAATATTTTTACTTAACCTAATATGTCCCAAATACTGCCATTTCAACGTGTCTGAAATCTCGAGTAACCACCCACACTTCAAGTGCTCAACAGCCACATTTAGCTAACGGTTCCTATCTAGCACATTGCACAGTACAAGTCCAGAGAGTAAAGTTCTCAGGAGCTACATTCTCTTCAATGCTCTGAACCACGATTGCAAAGTCTGACTTGTCACCAAAATTACTGGAGGCACTTAAAAAATATTTCTGAGCCCACCTCATTCGTTGGGTACAGGTTGTATCTTAGAAAATCTCACTGGGTGAGTCCGATGTGCAGCCAGTTCATACCAGGCTGCAGGGCAGTGTTTGAAACCCTCTTCACTGACCTAACTGAGCCTTCCTGTTGTCCAGAGGTGGGCGGGATAAGGGAAGCAGTGGTCATGGGGTGAACATCCTCCCCAGGGTCTCTCCAGCAAGTTATCAAGAGGACTACCTTCTATCTGCCGTGTGGGCTGGGAGAATTCAACACTCATCCTGACAGCGGAAGGTGCTTTCAGTTACTGAAGGCAATTTGATTTTTTCAAGTTAGAATGCATTAAAAAACAATGAGCTGATGTTGCAAAACAAAGGAGACTAGATTCCACTCGGCCAGGACTTGTCTAGCTGGTGACTTGATGGAGCTGCAGCTGTAGCTACCCATCTGTTTTTGAGCCTGTTTGTGTAGAATGGTTGCCCTCAATCTGGGACTGATTCTCACTTTCAGATCTCTTCAATTGAGTGGTGACAGAGTAGTTGAGAAAACTTGTCAAAGTGAAGAGTCTTGTAATATTTTCATATTTCTGACATGGAAAAATGGGTAGATGTATTACAAGTCTGCCTTCTAGACTTCCAAAACTATTTAAGCATGGACAAAGGAGGCTACCAGGGAATTTTTAAAAAACTGGTAAGTTGAAATTAGCCAACGTTATATCAAAGGGAAAGAAGTATCAAATGGAAATGAGGATATTTGTGGCCGAACTGGAGAAAAGGTTTAAAAGCATCAGGTGAAAAACAATAGATGAGACCAATATGGTGACATGAGAGAACCCAGCCTTTGTGCTCCCACAATGATCAACAATTAGACAGCTATCCACAAACAGAAATAGCTCCGGGATTCCACTTAAGAAACTTTAGCAGCACAGTGGAACCAAAACCTTGAGAAAAACTGTACAAGAAGAGAATGAAGACAGCGTCATTTTGCCTGCACCCCCCCACCCCCCCCTACCCCCCCGCCAGCTAGCATTGCCCAGTGCCAAGAGGGAACTTCCCAGCAGAAAGAGTTCCCTTCTCCCAGAAAGAATAAGCTTACTCAGCCTTTCTGAACACTACACAAAGGTCCTCTTTTGGTTTCACCCTACCCGGACCTGTAGGGCTGAGACACAGAAATAGCTAGGAATGAGGGGAAAAAGTAGAGGCTACCAATAGCAGCCATGCAATAGAAGCAACTGTAGTTCCTAGTGACCTGATCTGCAGATAACCCTTATGATTCAGTATCTGAAGGCTGCTTACATCTTCTCTAAAACCACCTCTACAAATCCCAGCCCATAGCTTATGATTATATTTAGACTGATACTAAGATTTTATTAAATTTAACGTAATAATAGATTATTTTACATGGACCATTAAAAAAATCACAAAAAGCAAACATCTTTATAGACAAGCTCTCCTAAAAAATTATAAATAAGCTCCTCTATCTGAGTCCCTTTATGCCATGATGGTAAGTGTTCAATGGCTAGAGACAGATTTATGTTCAAATACAATTTATTTGCCCTATAACCTCAGCCAAATTGCTCAGCCTCCCCAAATCTCCATGTTCTGGGAGTGTTTCATGCCCATCTTGTGAGGTTATGAATATGAAACATAAAGAATGTGAAGTGTTGGACACAATGACAGGCAGAATACTAGTAAATGCTCACAGGTAGCTATTAAGATGATCAAAACAAAGGCTATTAAAAGACCTGACTGATAAACATTTATGAGATTTTTCTGGAAATTAAGAAGGCCCTTACGAAAAAACATATTTACTCCTCATAACTATACATAACATTTATTTGGAATACTACAGGAAAATATCCCTAAAATTTCACCCAATATTATCTAACACCCACACACACATGCACGATGCTATTTCACCACCACCTTTCATAGTTTTTTTATTTCTCCAGAGAAAAAGTAGAACACAAAGTTCTTCTCTAAACCACAAATTAGAGGTCATCATCAGTTCATTTGGGAAAATATCCATCAGTGTTTATACACATACAGACCCACACACATACACGCTTCAGTGCATACACAGGGACACACACACACACACACACACACACACACACACACACTCCTATGTATATTTGAAATATAAATTAGTAAAAACCTTGATTTTAGTTAACATAAAAGAATGAGTTGGTAGGGAAGCTCAAGCATTTATGATGACCACAAGACTCATGCCTCTGTCTTACTCTTAACCATCCCTGATGGACTTTTCTGACAAACACATTCCATACTCCCACAAATCATTCTAGCAAAGAAAGAAAAGAGAGAAAAAGAGAGCCGTAGGGAGGGGGAAGGGAGGAAGGAAAACAGGAAGGGGGGAAGGAGAGAGGAAATGGAGGAGGAAAAAAGATTCCATGTGCAGGGCATGTGTGTTTGTTGGGTTGGCAAGCCAGGTCAATTTGGGGAAGCCAATTTTTTGCCCACCCAGAGCTTGCCCAGACTAAGGCTATGTTGCAAAACAAGCAGTGATTTCTCTGCCAGGCATATTATTGGAATGAGTGGTGTCCCAGACCTGACTAATGTTTTCTTCTGGCCCTCTTACTTTCTTAACACAAACATCTGAGGCTGAGGTAGTTTGAAGTGAGCTCCTCAAAGCATCCCAAAATTCCTACTTTTTATTTTTTATTTCCTTGATGTTTACTACTTAGTTCAAGAGCTAATGATTTCTGCTCCACCCAGCACTAACCCTGTGGATTCTAAATGTTTTTGCCTTTCAGAACCATCATTCTAAGCTCAGTTACCTCCATACAGAGTCTAAAATTAGAATGAATGAGCCATGCCAATGCAGCCCCTTATTGGGAGATTCCTCTAGGGCAGGTACTTCATCATTTGAGACAGCCTGATGTCTTGAGAATTCTTGTGACTGAGAGAAGAAATAGTTGTGACTGGCCATTTTGGTTTCATTGATCCTTAGACACAGTAACAATACAAGCTAAGGTTTGAAAGGACTGGTTGTGCCAAGAAAGCTGCATGTAGACAGAATGTAGTTGATTCGCTTAAAGAAACATTCCGTGAGGCACTACTGTGTATTGATACTGATTCCAAGAATGTATAAACACCTAAAATCATGATCATGAAACGTTATAGCTAGACATCTAGTCTGACCTTTTCATTTTACAAATTGATAGACAGAATTAAGGTCTGGAAATTTTAACTTTTCCAAGGTGATGGGCAGAGACTGGAATGAGCTTTGGTTATAGTTCAGTGGAAACTAAGTGCAAGCAAGGAGGTTACACACAATTAGTAAAGACTTAATGA